GGGTCGCGTTACGCCGCGAGGAGATTTATCTCGGAGGTAATTAATATTACGGTGTGGAAATGAGCGACAATTATGCGTCCCCGCTGTTACAAATTAAATTCATTATACGCCGGGAACAACGCGCGTCGAAACGACGTGCACGCTCGTTCCTCGAGACTCTCCGGAAGGGTTTCTCCATTCGAAGGTCGCGGATTTGGAAAGGGCGCCGAAAAACATTTTTGGACAACATTCAAGTTACCTTGGAATCAGAGCAATCCTCCTTTTCGTAATTCGATAGAAACTCCTCTGTTTGGTTTGATCGATAGATCCTCCATGGACTCCTCGCTTATCGAAGTGGTCCTCGTATTTGCACTCCGTTGCTCGGACATCCTGTCGTTCGAGACAACGTGGCGGTCAATTTATTTGTCCGCTTACAACGTAGATTCGTGGATACTCGGAGAACTGGAATTTCTCCACAATGTTGAACGAAAACCGGCTTTGCAACCAGCCCCGACTAAGTGACCAAGCAACCGTGCTTGTCTCGTCGCCGGAATTTAGTGCTTCGTGGCGATAACATGATGATCGATGGAAAAGATTTCTTGCGGCGGCGGTGGTGCTACATGTTTGGTTGTACGCGGCCCTGTCAACCTTTTAATTTGCTGCGGTACATTTTGAAACACGTGGGGACCAAAACCCCTCGGCTATATTCGATTACGATGTACTCTCGTCCGTATCTCTGCGTGACGTTACATGTTTGCAAACGTTTTCGAGTTCCAAATTACGCCGCGCACGCAACCACATTGTCATCGGCACCCGAATACGTCCCAACTTCCATTTCCTTGATCAAACCTCCCTTGCCTTTCGAAAAATATACGAAACACTTGGATCTATCTAACATCGAATCAAAGTTATTAGACAAACACGTTAAGTCGGAGATCTAAAAAGCGCGGAAAGATGAGGTATCGTCAAGGAGGTCTGGAATTCGGAAGTAGAACGAAGCAGAGTAAAAACAGGTGACTGTGAGCGAGTGGGATGAAAGTTGGAGAAGTGACGCGAAGTAGGAAGGATCGCAGTCGTTTCGTCAAAGGAAAAGAGGAGTGCATTGTACGTCTTGGCAAGGGTAGGGTAAGTTTTGAGAAGTTTCACGGAGGACGCGGAAACTAGGATGACGCAGTGTCTCCAGGTACGGATGACGGAGCGTCTACGCGCGCGTAGAGATATGAAACTTGAAAATATTTGAAACGACAAGTGTAACGAGGAGATAGCGATCGGGGATGAAGATATACCCGACGATGGCATTAAACTTGTTAATTAGCGAGGGGGGTTCGTAAGAAACGAAAGTCCCCGACGACGTTGAACGACAGCCGACCTCGACGAGAGATTGCATCGGCTGACCGTATAACTCTCTGGTCATCGTGTCAAGGAAATCGTGTGCGCGACGACACAAAGCAACGAAAGCAAAGGTTGAAGAGCAGTTCGGGGACGTCGAAGATCGAGAGGATCGGGGAATATATGGGATCTCCCCCGGTGCACGGAATCCACTTATCGCGGGATCGGCAAGAAAGGAGAATCCCTCGAGAAAGCGGAGAACGTCGAGTGTTTGTGAAAATGCCGCAAGAAACCGATGGCTAACGAATGTTGCTGGATGACTATATATTTGCACCGAATCGGTTGTTTTTATCGATGTCGCGAACGCTTTCTCTCGGAGCGGAGAAACGGTCCAAGGCGTCAGCCCTTCGAAAAATAATAGTTGGCAACAGGTCTGAAACTGTCGCCTTTGGAAGCTGGTAATTTCACTTTAAGATGGTATAAGGTTTATTCCAATATGGCGGCGGTATTGGCGGGATGTACCAAGATTCGAATGAATCGCTCGGTCCTATTGTCGCGAAGAAAAGATGTCATCGACAAGATGGCGGGAGGTCGAGGCTGGCGCGAATTAATTAAAGGTGGAATTTATCAGAAACGATACACGGGAGAAAGCGGTGGCCAAGATGCAATTATCGTTAACGTTCGACTTCTTTACGAGCCGCTAGCTCGTAAGTTACGAGTCGTAAATGTAAATTCGAGATTTGCAAAACGGCGCAGCTGCCCCTGTCTTGGGGGGGTTATTAGCGCGCTTTCGGGAGGGGTTGCCGTGGATGTAATCAGAGAAACGGTAAATTATTATCGCGCGATTCGGCCCGCGTAATTTGTATCGGGACGCGCGTGCCGGCCCGGAATCGGTTCCACCTTCTCTCGCGCCTCGGCTTTTTTAATAACCGCGATCGATCGTTCGCGTTTCCTCGGCCATTTTTCGCATCGAGCTCGGCCGGATATAAAGGAGCTGCGAAATTACCGGCGCGCACGGAGCGTAAATTAGATTCTGCCCGGTGTTTACTTTCGTTCAGGCTGACCGGGGAAGCCCGGCGTCGTCGGTGGGATCCGAATTATTAAAATAATAGGCTTCGAGAGGCTCGAGCCGCGAACCGACGGATGTTTATAATATCGCTTCAAACGTGAGTTTGAAACACAAGACTGCCGCTCGAAGAATTTGTGTTCTCGGTGGACGGGTTGAGTCGAGTAGCAAAGCCACGGCGGGGCCCTCCCCCGCTCCCTGGATCGCTGGCAGACCGATTGTTTGTCGGTCGGTGGAATGTCAACTCGATCCGATTAAAAACTGACAGCGAAGTAGCGGCAGTCCGGTGTCAACGCGTGACACGACGCGGAATGTGACGCGTGACGCACGTCCCGTGGAATTCTAAACGTTTTCACGCGGGGACCAATGGCGACGCGGCCTGCTTTCGTTCAAACAGGTGCGATTCGCATAATATTTCTGCACGGAACCGTTGAGTCACGGTCCTGCGATAGCTTCTATCCGCAGGGTCTCTCGAAACTTTGGCTTCTCGCTTCTGTATGTTCTAATCGTTTAAATACAATTTAAAACTGTGTTTTAACAACTGCATTTTTACGTTGCGGGCTGCCTTAGACTCTGGAGATTCAATAATCTATAATGTATAGTCGAGCACTTGCGAGAGAGGTACAGGTTGGGTGTAGCCCTCTGTCGGCGAGTAAGGGAAGCGCTGCCATAGTGTTTTGATAATTTCCATTATCGAGTTGACTTATCGGCCTTGACCACGCGTTTGAGGCCGTAAGAATGGATAGGGTCGCCCGGTTAGCAAAGGTAGCAAATAAATTGCTATTCGTCGGTAGTGTATTACGGGAATAAAATGTTGGCTGTATCTGTAGCCAATTTCATCGCTCGCATCGACGCCTCGGAGATGTAGCGCCGCTGGAACCTAACGAAACGATGCGTCGAGGAATGTCAAGATTAATGGCTCCTTTGTCCCGGTCGTTCCCGCCGCGGAGCACCGCAAGAGAGCCCAGGAAGGAAAACAGAGAAAGAAAGGCGAAATCCTCAGGTAAGTCCGGATAACGGTTTTCGCGCTGCTAAACCGTCGTCGAATTACAAAGTAACCGGCGCTCGTTATCCGCATTAGCATTAATTAACAGCAACAGGCTCACCTGTGCGTTAAAGATCCACTTTCGCCGACACCTCGCCGCCATGTTCGAGCAAAAAAATATACGCAGCGCTACTAAATCAAACCGCGGAGATTTCTAGAATATCAGAACCCGTTCTCTTGGGCTTCTAAATCCAATAGCGATGGAACGGTCAGGGGATGGATAACATTTTGAAAATATGACTATATCGAGAGATCATTTTTCTTCAATGAAGACATGATGTTTAGGAAGGAGTCGAGAAGTGTAACGCGACAGGGAAGGGAAAATTTTGCGATTGCACGCAAGCATGCATAGAACCGGGAATCGATAACCAAATAACCGAGGCTTCGACGTCCATGCTGTTCAATTTTGACTCAATCAGAGACAGCAAAGCCGCACGAAACTGGAAATCAAATCCCGATCGTTCGATTTCACCGTTCCGCGATAAACAGTCAATTACCCGTTCGCGAAACAGTATTTGGTCGATTGCAGCGCGGTAAAGCGGTCCCGATATTTGTTATCTCAACGTCGGGCAATATTCACTGACGCAAAACACATTTTCCGGGCGGTACGCGGCCCGCGCAGACGCTCCTCGGAGACAACCGCGTAACTTATTACCATCTAAAGCGAGTCCTGGATGCAACGCGGCCGGGGTAATTCCGTACGAGCGCGGAATATACATTTCTCGCGAGCTGTTTGCCCACATCCAGTCCCCGCGGTGAGAAAGTTTGCTGATCGCTTACGACCAGCGCCGCCCGCGACTCGACGACATCCGCAAGGATTTGTAAAACCGAGCTCCGACGTCATCCATTTTGGTTAACGCATCGAACGCATGTCCTGATTAATCATCGGTTGATCTTCAATTTAAATAAGAACCTGACGATGGAAGGGTTGTTGTTTTTTTTTTGTCAGCGAGGTTTGTTTCGGGGAATAACAGCGTACGAGGTTCCCTTGTTAGCCTAAAGGCGTGCACTCGATTCGCTGTCATTAGGTCCGGGCAAGCAATTTAGTCGTGCAGCGTGAGAAACCAATTGCGGCCCGACGACGGTTTAGATTGAACGGGTGGGCAACGAGGAGCATTTCGGTACACTTGAATCTCGCCGGGTCGCGTCGATTAACCTTTTAACAGTCGCGTTAATTTATCGCCTATGACTTTGCTGCGCTTGTTTTGAATGACGCGAGGCCCCGAGCGTAATCGAGCATGGGACGTCGGATCGAAAGTCAACGGCGGGCCCTAGCGACGGCGCCGGTTAAACGCGGATTTACGCTCATTAACCCGTTCCCTGTCTGTGCGTTCTATACTCTATTAAACTTGAATTATTGATACGACGACACCAGACTAGAAAAATTAAACGTTGTCGCTATTTTTATAAAAATTTATGAAGAAAAATTCGAACAACGAATCGATGTAGCTCCGTTGGATATCTATTGCCACGATAAAATTAACAAAGTAATCGACTTGCTGGACTGGAGACTCGAATCCGCATCTTTCGAACGACTGCGATTAAACTGCTCCAATTAGCTAAGCTGCGCAGTGAACTTCCCTCGGAGTTCAGAGTCCAAACGTACGCCGATTATTTATTGGGTCAGTGGTTTTTGGGAGCCTCTAAAAAAAGATATAGTTCAACGGTCGCCGACTTTGTCGAGTAATTATAGCGGAAAGAATGGAATCGAGTTGTTCGGTATAGATAGAAATAATAGAATGATACGTACCATTTCAAATTAAAAGTGTTTCTTCCCGCACCCCCGTTAGAGAAATTACTGTATCGAGTGAATTTCTCTGCTTCGTCGAGTATGGTTTATGCGAGGAAAGTTACCGTTTCGCGAAAGCATCGACTTTGCCCGTCCGATATCAGAATCGCTACAGTCTGCCCGGTCGAACACAGATCCAGAGATGCGGTACGTCTCCCAAGAATCCCAAGCACGCGATAATACGTTTCCCTAGAAAAACACGATTGAACTATGGTCATACTCGATACAGCGTGAATCACAGTTCCACATTTCCAATCCGCGCGAACTATATGGGTAACGTGAATCACTGGTATTAATCTCCGCGCGGATTCCTCCGCGTCTAAACAGCTGTCACTTTTCTGCGTCTCTATTATTTCACGATTTTTTCCCGGCGTCCGCTACGTTCCATCGGAATTTATTTTTTTCTCCTCCTTACCGTTTCCAGGCCAACGATCGATCGACGAGATCCAGCGGAGCCTGGGTTAATAGGTCGGAGATCGACGACGATCAAAGCCATAGGACTATGCAAAGCGACGCAGTACGGCGATGCACGCTCGGTGAATGAATTTCTACGATGATTTCATCGTTGCGTATCGCGCCGCAGAATGTCACCCTATCATCGTGCTGCCCTCCTTGGGTTAAATGTTCCAACTAAACGTTGCCAATTACCCGGGAAATAATTTGCCTGCGTTGCTATTTCAGCGCGAGACGTCGAAGAAATTGCTCCTTGAACGCTTTGTTGCGTATACTTTCGGCGGGAATTTGAAAAATTTCGCTTTAATCATTACGCATCATAACTACGATACTTAAACCAAATTTTTTAGGTGTACATCGTTCCTGTTTTGCTTGTGGTATATTGGCAAAATCTCCGAAGCATCGCTCCGGTGGCAAAAATCATCGTAGAACCAAGTTTTAACGCGCTATCTTTTAGAGGAAAGCAATTTGATTAGAGAGAAGAGAATGATTCGTAAGTGTAACTTCATTTCTCATTTGCTGGTGTCGAGTTTCGCCTGAGAGGTGAACGTGTGAAACTGGGAATGACGTTCGTCTTAAGAGTCGTGGCGCGTATTCCCTCGCGGTATGAAATGTTTTGGGTTTCGCGCATAAGACGGGTAATTTCCGTGGATCGAGAAGCGCAACAACCTCCGTGGCGGTTCGCGACGTCCCGAGGCTGTCGTCGTGGTCGCGGACGCTGGGAACCGGGCCAAGAGCGTCGGATGGCCGGCCCGTGACATCAATCTTCGTCGGTGGCGCAGCGGTGCGTCGCGTCGCGTCACCGCATGCATGTGCAGTTGCGCCGCGGTCGGGCGATTGCACCATGCACGGCAAACGATGAAACGAAAGGAAAGTCCGCCGGGGACGATTTTCACCGGCGATTTTCGCAACCTCTTGAAACGCGAACACCCTCCCTCGCGCCCCTCTAATCCCGGTTGCGTCGCTTTAAAGCGTTCGAGCGCCGCTAGAAGCGTGTCAAGGCGAACTTTTAATACTCGCTATCGGTGGCGTTTTTTTTTTTTTCTTTGTTATATACAGGACGCCCGTATCGATTTCTCGAAGGACAGACAAGGCCGCCAGGCACCGAGACGACCTAAGGATATTCTACCCTCCGCGAGCTACCGCGAAGATCCATCGCGAAGGTTGCACCGGGGATCGATGGATCCAGCGATTCTTTCGAGTCTGGAATTTTTTAATTGAAATTTGTTGATTTCTAAAATACATGTAAAGAAATATCGAGGAGAAAGGATCGAAAGGCAAGAAAGATACGGTGAAATAGATCGAGGGGCCGGGAGGTACGAGCGCGGTTTCTCCTATCGCGCGACGATTGGTCGTTTGATCGTCAAACCGAGAGTTCTCGACGTTTAATTACGTTTTTGCCGATCTACGTCCCGCGGGATTCGTTGACAATACTCGGCGAGCACGGGCGCGTTCTTGCGGCGGTTACGAGCTGCGCCGGTGTGCTCGACTAATTGCTTCGAACTTCTGGCGGAATCGTTGCTTTTTCTTTCCTACGTTCGCCGCTGGAACGACCGACAGAGACAGAGACGGAAACACGACGATCGGAGAGACGGTGAGGAATCGAAGAAATATGGCGAACCGCGAGACGGAGGAGAGGGGAGGCTCGATTAGGCGAAGAATTACGGAAGCTCTCGAAGCCTGGTTATGCAAGGCTGCGGCAGGGCCGTAAAAACTGGGCGCAATCGCGACGACTGGCGCCTCGTAATTGGCATGCCCACGACGAGTTATGGCGCGGCAATAATTGTTTCTTCGCGTTTCGTAAGCCTGCCGCTTGGCTTTTCCTCGTCCACCGGGCCCCCTCCCTCCCCCCGACGTCTTCTTCGCGTCGCGAAACGATTGCACCGCAATTTAATTTCCATGAAATCTTACGATTGCGACCAACGAATTGCGCGGTAAACGTGTCCTTGCGTCATGCCGCCCGGTGCGACTGCGTTTCGCGGAAAACTTGCCGAATTTTAAAAGATCATGATTCTTAAGATGAACGTCGGAGGTGAAATTCGACGCCGGAAGATATTTTTACACGGTCGTTCTTCGCGCTTCGCTGGCTTCGAGGGAGATTCCCCCGGTTGGAAGGGACAGAAGTGTTCAACTTACGAGTCACGGTTCATTTTGAGAATCACAAACACGATGTTAGCGCGAGAAACGAAAGATATCGCTGGTGCATTTTGTCTGGGAGTGTATGCGTAACGACGGATACGTTTCGAAATTTATTCCCCGACAAGTTGGTGACTTTTAAACCATTCTGGACGCACGTTGGCGACCGATGTTACTCGACAACATGCCTCACCTGTTCCCGACGATGTCGGGAATGTCTCGACATCGTACACTACAGGCCATATAACGGCTGCCGGCGAAGAAGTAGAAATTGTCGTATTAGCTGCGGTCGCAAATAAGCCGCAAATAAGTTGTCTCGACAAATTGAACAGTACCGTGGAATTGCGGGGACATCTGCGTGGTGGATGTTGAAACGCCATTAATTTTAGCCATTTCACGCGTCTTAAACGTCAAGAGCTCTCGTAATTACCTATAGGCTCACGGCATTTCAAACATAAGCATTACCGTAATCCATCATAAACATTGCGATAACTGCAAGTAATGGAAAAACTGCATTCAAATAGTACAAAATTATACTCCAGATAAGTGCAATCTTAACGCGTGTTGTGTGCAAGTATTATCGTACGGAAAAAACCCGCGTATCGGTCCAATAATACAAAATCGTATCACAAATTGTGTGCCTCCGCGTTATCCTTCAAAACAGAAATCGAAAAATTATGTATAACTTTTAGTATCGCTACTTCCTATCCAAAGAATCAAAAGAAGTGAGATTAAATTCCAGAAAATCTTCCTCTCGATAAAAGTCGGATGCTACCGTTAGATTGTAAACAGAAGAAATCGGTATTGGCGTATCTTACGAAAGCTATCAAGATTCTCGAGTTCGGTGAAATATGAATTTGTTTGCTTGGTATTCTTATTGGATAACGTTCGCTGGAACGACGACCGTTCGGACGGAAGTCTGGTCCCCCGTTTAACAGGAAGATCTTCCGGTAACGAGGCATGACAAATCCTAAAACGAACACGTCACGATTTTAACGACTCGACCCTGCTAAGAGCCCGCTTCGAAATTGTCTCGTTTTATTTAAACGTCCAAGCAAGGAGGACTCCGTTTCGCAATTTATTGCGCCTCGTTGCAGCAATATCCTGTTAGATTTGCCTACGACGGCTAAAAATACCTGCTTATCTAGGTCTATTTGCTCGCGAATAGGGGAAAAATGTACACAGCTGCCGGAGCTTTTCCTGTTTCAGGAGCGCAGCTGCACTACGACCGGAGAGAATTCATCAAGTTTCCTCTCGATAATTCTTCTTATCGGACCCTACCGAGATCTATCGGCGAGACTTATCGACGAGATAAGAACATCGTCCCCTAAAAGTGCACGACGAGAGGCTAGGTGCACTTTAACGATTCGTCCGTCCCATCGGCTCCGATTACCGTGTAAACGCCATGAAAAATTGTTCTGTTGATCGGACGGAGCCCGAGTTCACCGAACATCGATCTTATCGGGCCGATTATCGGGTCTTTCGAATTGACTCTGCTTTCCTCGGTCATTTTCCTGCGTCTACCAACACACGTGTCGAGGGGCTTTCCCGACAAAAACCGAAAGCTGTTCCTTCGTACGCCTCCTCGACGACGCGTCTATCTCAGACTCGATCTGTTCCGTCTGGAGAAACGTCAGTTTTTCCGCCGTGGGAATGTTTCTTTTTAAATCTGCTAGATAACCATTTCAGAACTGTTTCTTTTTAATCGTCACCGCGAGTCGGAGAAACGTCGCTAGTTAATCTCGAGAGCCTTCTTCGATGGGCTGAAGGCATTAACCCTTTCGATACGGGTCGAGTAGATCGCGTAGCGATCCCAGAGGCCGACGCGTCAATCGGCCATTACGTTTCTTACAGGCACATAGGTCGCCTCGATCATTACGAACGGGCAGTGGTTACTCTAAGCTATTATACAAAAAACTAGAACCAAACTGTAAACTGTTTGAACCCCCCAGCGGGGCAATTTAAATAATTATGACGTATCGAGCGGATCCATAGCGTAAGAATCTCCCTTCGAGGACGGAATAACGCGTTGCTTCCGGCGCGGAAAGGAAGCGTCGCCCATTGCCGTGCGAAAACATCAGGAAGTGCTTCTGGAAGTCGCGAGAGCGTCGTCGTTTATTTATAACCCTGGTCGTTTTAACCCGGCAATATATCGGGCACAAAAAAATCCGTTTCCCCGCGAGCCCCGGCGCGCGCATGAATCTTATTTTTACCCCGTGCAGCGGAACGCCGTCGTAAAAATAGAGGGAAAAGAGCCTTTCTCCCCGGCCTATTCGTGCGGGATTAATGATTCCTTCCCTTTTTTTTTATAAATATAATCCTTCGTCGAGGAAGGGTAGGGACGCAGAATCTGCATAAAAAGTGCTCTTCGCCACCCTCCCGTGGGGCCATCCCCGTTCGATTAATCACGCTCGCACGTACGCTCGGGACGCGTCACCTCGAACTGTCCCGTTTCGAGCGCCGGATGATCGTCCCTGATAGCAAACTCGTGCCAATCCTTGAAGAGGACAAACATTCGACGCGAAAGTCCTTAAATTTTTGTTCGTTTCGTTTGCTTTTCCTTCCAAGTTATTAGAACAATGACTGCGGAAGAGTAGAGGCTCCAAAATGGAGGCAACTTTCCACGTAAAGACCCCTTCAGCTCGCTCGAAAGAGTTCTTCAAGGATGTAAGTGTAGACACGAAGGCTGGTTTAGAGAAGTCTGGCAACTCAGTCGAGCGGCGAGTAATTGCTACTAAACAGTTTAGCGTTACAAAAGTGTCGGAATTAAGCTCAGAAAAATGGACAAAGACATCGTGCTGACAGTGTTATTAAAAATACTGTTCAGACCTAGAAGAATAAATGAACAACACTCGATATCCCTGTTATGGGGCTGCATGGCATACAGTGGTGTAGGCCAAAATGCATTTGTTGAAAGGAACATGAGCGCCAGGATGAACATCACAATGCACAATAATT